AAAGTTACATCAGTTAGAAAACATATGTTAACCGTTGGCTGAACTAAAATGTTGGTAAGAATAGCAAATGATACCTCTCATTTTCTTCCCATAAATATTATAAATATTTATAGAGATCGGTTGAAAACTCATAATTTCTCGAGAATCCGGAAACGAAAAGTGGAGCGTTGGATCAAAAGTAATTCATTAAGAACATGATCATCATCTTACCAATCTCGTTTAAAGTTTAATTTTTTTTGTGTGACTTAATATATTAATATAAATGTCTAAAAATTTACATCATAAATCAATGTTTCAGATTTTTTAAATATAGTACCTTTTTTTAAAGAAAATGCAGATTTTTTAATTTTTTATAGAAAACATGAATTTTTGAAAAAAAAAATATATTTTTTTTAAAACTGCAATTTTTTCAAAAAACTGTAATTTTAAAAAAAACAACATTTTTTTTCAAAAAAAAATTGCATAATTGCATTTTTTAGAAAAAAAACCGCATTTTTAAATAAAAAAAAAACTACAATTTTTTCAAAAAAAAAACTGCAATTTTTTTAAAGAAAGTTACATATTTTTCAAAAAAAAAAAAAAAAAAAAAATGTAGCACTTGGTTCCCGGTTTGGAGCTTAGAAGAAGAAGGAAGAGATTGAAGTGTGCAAGGAGGGGAGGTAGATTCGGAATCTACACTGTGAGAAGCTTCCATTCAGGTAGAAAAGTTCTTACCTTGATCACTAGTTCATTAGATCCCCCTTTTGTCCCAAATTAATGGTTTTCAAGCCCTAAAACCCCAAGCTCCATGTGTTTATGCTCTATGTTCTGAAAGGACTCCAGATTTGGACCTTATGGGCGTATTAGAAGTATAAAGTTTCTGTGGTTGAAGTGATTGAGGTCCCCATTGAGTGTATGACCTCATTAAGATCTTGGTTTTGCCTTTTTGAGCTTATAAGGCCATACATGCACGTAAAGTTTGCAACTTTACGTGATAAGCATGCCCAAGGATCATGGATCCATGGTTTGAAAGTGTTGCATGTCTCAGATTTTGTCTGTATGGGAAATGGGTCATAGGGACTCGGCGAGTCCCAAGGTGGAACTCGGCGAGTTCTATGAAGGTGGTCTTAGACTCGGCGAGTTGGATGAACAACTCGGCAAGTTATATGAATATTGCCTGGAACTCGACGAGTTGTTCTTCAAACTCGGTGGGTTGTTCTTGGATTCGGCGAGTCGGATTGCGAGTCGGTTCTATAGTCCCAAGTAGTGAGTTAAGGGTGACTCAGTGAGTGGGAAGAGGGACTTGGCGTGTAGGACCAGGTTAGTAGGAGAAGGACTCGGCGAGTCTGTGCCATGACTCGGCGAGTCCAGTAAACTGGAAGTTGACTTTGACTAAGGAGTTGACCTTGGACCAGGGGTAGGTCAGTAATTTGATCTAAGGGTATTTATGAGTGTCTAATGTATGTTTATGGATTTGTAGCCGAAGGATTTCCGGTGCAGCAGTCAGACGTCCGATAGTCGGACTTTTGGTAGCTACTTTTCGAGGTGAGTTTCCTACTAGTAGGAACGGGTCTAAGGCACCAAGGCCGGCTCGTATAGACGATATGATAGTATCGGAGTGTGGGCAGAGCCCGTATCTCATAGTTGATTTTGATGATGATATATGCTAGTGTGGTAGAATTGTTTATACTTGTTGTCTGTGTGATACTTGTATATTATGGTTTAGTAGCGGAGTGTGGGCGAGGCCCGTATCTCCCAGATAACGGGATGTGGGCGAGGCCCGTATCTCCTAGTTAGCGGAGTGTGGGCGAGGCCCGTATCTCTTAGTTGTTCATTATATGATTGTATGGTATGTGGTATTATGGGGGAACTCACTAAGCTTCGTGCTTACAGTTTAGAGTCTTGGTCTCAGGTACCTCTTCAGCGAAGGGGAAGGAGCTAACACGGTAGCGGCACATCATACACACCCCTTGTTTTCCGCATTATGAGATTGTTCTGGGATTTGTACTCTGACATTATGGTTGATTACATGTATTGGTTTTCAGACACATAACATGATTTAAGAAACAATATGATCGAATGTTGTTTATTTTCAAATGTTTTGCAAAGTGTTTAATTAAAAATGAAATTTTCGGACAAAAAAAAAATTGGGTTGTTACAAAAAAACAACATTTTTTTTAAAAGTAAATTTTTAGGTGCATATATGCATATTTTTTTCAAATGCATATATGTATATTTCTTATACTATAATATTCGTAAGTAAGTCATAAAAAATCTCATTTTTATTAATTAATATATAAACATGATAGTACAAGTATTTTATTTGATACAAAATAAAATATAAAAAATAAAAAATGCTACAAATTCAAATCGTTTTCATGTCTTCGTGTCAATTTTCTTATTTTCTTCAATTTATCATTTTTCACATCTTCAATATTCACCACAATTTCTTCCAAATCTACAAGAAAATTAAAAAAAATGATTGATGCAAAAACACTCACAAAAATACATATGTGATGTTCATGTGATTCACATATGAATCACATACGATTACCATATGAATCACATTACATATGACATCATAGGTAAATATGATTCACTACTGGTTCACATGTAAATCATATGTAAATCACATGTGATTTACATGTGAATTATATGTATATCAAATTTTATTTACATGTGAATCAAATGTAATTAATATATTAATTACATGTGATTTTCATGTGATTAACATATGAATGTGTGCATATATACGTCATTCGTATGTAATTCACTTGTGATTTACATGTGAATCACATATCATTCATATATGATTTACGTGTGATTAATATGTGAATCATATGATATTTACATACCTGAAAAAAAAACTTCAAAAATTATAATGCAATTAATTTGTTTAATACACAAAAGATTATGGATGAGCAGCAAAAGCGGGTACCTGCTTTCAGAACCGGAACTGCCTTAGGCGGTTCCCGTTCCGGTTCCGAAAGTCTAGGAACCGCTTTAAGCGGTTCCGGTTCCAATTCTCATTTTTACGAAACCGATACCCCCGGGTTCCGGTTCCTATACCAGGTACCCGAAACCGGCGATTACCTAGAACCGATACCGACGGGTACCCGCCTTTTATAATAAAAAATATTTATTATTTATATTTTGGTGCCTTTGTTTTAAAAATTTAGGGTAAAAGAACTTAGACATGATTCGTTTATAGGGTTTATGATTTTGGATTAATACCTTAAAAACCTTTATTTACACAATATCCATTTTGATTTAACCCCAATATTTTTATTTGTTACTTATTTGCCATTAATTGTGTTGATTGGTTATGAAAAGTCAATGGTAGTCGGTGTCGTCGGTTTAACAGGTAACCCTAACTTTTTACATACCCAAAATCGTTATTTGCCCCAAAACCTCTCATTCACTCTTGCGAAAGGCGTTCTTCCTCACACATAACGTCTTCTTCTTTTCCATGGCTTCGTCTTCAACATCTTCTATCATCAAACCGATTTATCGCACCAAGTGTGATTGTGGTGATCAATTGCAATACTTAGTTTCAAGAACTGATAAAAACCCAGGAAGAAAGCTCAAGGCATGCCCTATCTATAAGGTAAAATTAAGGGATTTTGTTATCTTTCAAAAGTTATTAAATGAAGCTTTTGTTCGCAGGGTACCAAAAAAGGGTGTAAATATTTCAAGTGGCTTGACGTGGACGAGCTGGAGTTTTATGCTAATGAAAGGGAGCCCTATAACAAAATTGTTGCCAATGGTGTTCTGCAGGTGATCAAGTTGTTGAAGTTTGTGTTGGTGATGCTGGTGGTTATTGGAGTAATTCTGTTAATTAGCATTGTATTTTAAGAACCAGTTGGTTAGGGCAGTTGTAATTTTTTTTTATTTTGGTAGGGTTAAGGTTGTTGTAGGTTTGTTATTTTGGCCAGGGCAGGTGATCATTGTAGTTATGGTAATGTTTGATGGAGAAGTGTATTGATGGTAATCTAATGTTATTTATGTCCCTATGATTTGGTAATTTCATTATAGTGATTCATTACAATGTAGTTATGGTAATGTACTAAAACTTGTGTAAGCAGAGGGGTATTACTAAATCTTGTGTAAGCAGGTGAAATGTACTTGAACTTGGTAAAACTTGGTAATAATTGAATGTACTAAAACTTGTGTAAGGAAGTAAAGGACATTAACTGGAATGACAATTAACATATGATTGTAAGCAAGTGAAATGAAATTAACTTCAAATACTTGCATTCATAATAACATAAAAGGGGGTATTACAGTCATAACTAAACAACCAATTGCCCAACAATCCTTCTAATGGCCATTAACTACCAATGTTCAGAAAGGCCTAATTGAATACTACTAGATGCTGATATATAATTGGATGGTTGTTAACAAAAGCTGATGAAATGTTAACAAAAAGGACAAGCAAAATACATAGTGCCCATGATACCCCCTCCTAAATAGTCCTACTCCAAATTAACTGGTTTCTTAATACTAGAACCCCTTCCATCCTTATCATAAACTGCTTTCTTCAACTTGATCTTCACAATTCTCTCATAAATCTTCCTTTTCCAAGGCCTCCCAACAACGTGTGTATCTTTATTGAAGTCAATATTCCTATCAATTTCCTGATCATCTTCACCAACCCAAGCATTAGCATCTAAACCTTGTATAGCAACTTCCCCTTGCACTGGTGGCACAACTCATTAGCATCTATACCCTGTAAGACATGATCTAGTTAATTACCCTATGTAAATCGCATATTAATTGTAAGAAATTTAAAGTAAAGTTTGGCATACCATTTCCTAGTTTTCTTCAAGCAGGTTATCTTCAATCTCATTAACATCCTCTTCTAAGTCTGCTTCCAAGTGATCTTCAATCTCATTAGCATCTACACTTTGTAAGACATGATCTAGTTAATCACCTTATGTAAATCACATATTAACTATAAGAAATTTAAAGTAAGGTTGCCATACCATTTCTAATTTATCTTCAAACAAGTTATCTTCACGTCAGTTATCTTCAAGCAAATGATCTTGAATCTCATTAGCATCTACCCTTTCCATAGCATGTGCAATCTCATGAGGTTCATAACCATATTTCTGCAACAATAACAATACATCAATTTCATCAGAACTAGCATATGCATCATTCACAATCTCAGATGCACTTTCCTATATAGTTTCTTGTACAGTTCCATTTTCTTCTTGCGCAGTTGCATGTACAGTTTCTTCTCCAGTTGCATTTTCTTCTTGAACAGTTTCCTGTACAGTTGCATTTTCTTCCTGTACAGTTGCATCATTTGCAGTTTCAAAGGTTGCTTGATTTGAGGATCCTTCTCCAGCCTTCTTTGTCTTCTTCTTTCTTTTCACTATAAGTTTAACTGCCTTTTGTTTTGAAGTTCCCTCTCCATCCTTGTTTGTTATACCATTTCCACCCCTCCTTTGCCTTCCTAGTTTTCTAGGTTGCACGTACTCCTTCATTACTTGCTCATTCTTATAGGATTTCAAGTTATGTCCGAATTGTAAACATTTGCTACAACTAACATTCCTACAAACTCTAGCTCTAACAGTTGGGAACTTGGAATCATTGAACTCAGACACATGCCTTATTCTCTTGGTTTTTGGCCTACCAGGCATTCTCATTATCAATGGAGATAATGGCTTTATATAGTCAGTGGGTGCCCACAGATTGCTTCCATTTACTGGTGATATATTTGTGGTATATGCAGCCACAAATTTCTCTTTTTGGAACCAAATGTTTCGAAAATCAGTTAGATTCATGTGAGTGTAGTTTATTGTTGCTTGACCATGCACACATGGTATTTCAGATATCTCCCATAGTCTACATGTTCAATAGTGTTGTTCCAAATCCACTTTGTAAGTTGTATACCCATACCGTGTCTCAAATACAGACCCCCCATTTGCTATCACTTTCCAGTTCCTATAAATACAAATTAAAAATAACAATTTCATGTTAAGTATACAACACAATTTAATGGTAAGTAGTAACAAGTTTATGGTAAGAATTTACCTCATCTCTTTTCCAAACTCCTTCATTTTCTCTATGATAGCTGGACACGATTCAGTTGTCCAAGTAGAAGCTTTATCAGCCAAATAATAAAACCTAGCCATTACATAGATTCTGATTTCCTCTAACATTGTGAGAAGTGTTTTTTTCCTAATATTTATGATCATGGAGTTGAAGGACTCAGAAACGCCATTTTCCACTGCCTCACATGCATACCCTTGTCGAAAAAATGCCCTACACCATGATTGTGGATTGTTAGACATCAACTAATCATATCCATTTGAAGTTATTTTCTTAATTTTTTTTCCATATTAGACACAAAATCCCCTTCATGTGAACTCGTTGCAGCAACCCAGAACAAGTTCTTCAGCTCTAAACATGTATGCCTCTTCCTGAAGTTGGCATAAATGTGTCGTGCACACTGCCTATGTTCAACATGTGGAAGGATAGCTTTCACAGATTCTAGAAGCCCTTGAAATAAGTAAATTCAACATTAATATTGGTTAGACAATATAAATGAATACATAAAAAAAATTGTAGTATTTATGTTTACCTTGTGTTGATCTGAAATAACAATTAGACCCCTTCCATCCTCAACACCCAAGTCATCAACCAACAGCTGTAAAAACCAAGTCCAATTTTCTTTGTTCTCTACATTTACTACAGCCCATGCAGTTGGATACACGTGGTTGTTAGCATCTCTTCCAATAGCAGTCAAAATCTCCCCTTTGATTTGTCCCTTTAGGAAACATCCATCTAAGCCAATCACACGTCTGCACCCTATATTCTAGTCATCTTTTAATGCCTTAAAACATACATAAAAACGTTGAAAATAATTCACCCCATCTGGATTTACTGACACTCCTACTTTGCATGTGCTTTCAGGGTTAGATCTAAGGATTTCGTTGGCATAATCCCATATCTTAGCATAGGGTTCCTCCAGTTTACCTTCTATCATCTCCCTTACCCTTACCCTTGCTATATGGCATTGCCCCTTTAACACTTTTACTGAATATTTTGTAAGGACATCCTCCATCATCTCAAGAAATGTCATTTTGGGCTTCCTAATTATCTCCTTAATGTAGTGTTTTGCTAAGCAATTACAACTAACCAAATGTCCAAAATTATAATTCCATACACAAAGATGTGTTTCAACCATAGATTTTATCTAAAAAGTACGTTCATTATACTTCCACGAAGCATGGATCCTAAAAGGACATGGTTTTTTTGCATTTTATTCCCACACCTAACAATTACCCTGTTTTTATCACTTTCCATGAACCAAAGTTGGTATCCATTAGCTACAGCGTAGTTAGTGAGTGCAAACCTTAACTGAGCAGGAGAGTCGTATAACTCACCAAATGTAGGCTTCATTTGGTTCCACTTGATGGTAGGATCGTGCACCCTGGACTCGACACCCACTTCTAAGCCATTTTCATCTTCAAGGTGTTCATGCTCGTGCTCTTCCTGGTGAATGTGTTCATCATCAGCTTCATCGTCCCCTTCAAACTGATTATTCTTTAACATTTTATCATCACATAAAATGTTAAAAAAAGGGTATTCACACAAGTTAGATGTAGGATTGAAGTTATCTGGTTCAACATCCAACAATCCTAACTCAAGACGACCATCATCAGACTCTTCTTCATCACGTATGTATCTCAACTTTGTCTTCTTTGTCGTCTTTGACTCTTTACTTTTCATTCTCCGTGATGATTATTCCATTGAACCCTTGAAAACCTTCAGAAACCCTCTTGCAAAACCCTCTTTTGACGATGATGGTATCTGATAAGGGATACTCCTTTGTTAGTCAGATGAGGGAAAAGGTGGTGGCTACTATGCACGTTCCCAATAATTAGTACTCGAGTGAAAAGATGAAACCGAAAAGGACTTGATTACAGGTTGTTAACCGGGTAAAGTGTAATAAATGGAACGTCATCTCATTAACGGTGGCAAATAAGTAAAAACTAAAAATATTGGGGTTAAATCAAAATGGATATGTATAAATAATGGTTTTTAAGGTATTAACCCTATGATTTTCATTCCAAAAAAATGGTGTCTTCTCTTCTCGTCACTCTCATATCTCCCCTCTCAAACCCATCCTTCAGTTAATCATTGCTTATATCGCTCTAAACTCCAGTCATCGTTCTATTTCTCAATCGAAACGTCAGGACTTGAAATTCACTCATCTCCTTCAGGATTTGAAATTCACTCATCTCCCTCGTCTCTTTGTCTCTCAATCATCACTTCAGTAGAAGCTTCAGTCGGCACTTCAAGGTGGACGACTTCACTCTGATCATCCCTACTTAGGTTCTCCCTCATCTCCCTCGTCTCTCTCATATTAAATTTTTGATTCTTTAGGTTCAATCTAGATTTCAATCTGTTAACTTTTTTGTTAATTTGTTTGTTTTTTTGTTAATTGTTAAGGTCTAGCTTATTATGCTTCGCTAATCAAGAGATGATCAACGTTTTTTCACTACATTGTTAACGAAAAGGAAGAGACCTTGATAACTAAAATTTCTGTATACGAAAACAAGCGTTAATAATTCTGGATCGAACATAATCTATTGATCTAAACGAATTAGTACTTCATGGATTTTCACTAAACTAGTACATTGTTAACTCATTACATTTCTCCATCTCCAGGTATTAGAATGTGAATATGTTGTTCATGGTGAGATTTTCTCTATTGCTTAGGTAAAAAAACAAATCATTTTTCTAAAGATTCAGATTCAACCATATAAATCTCATATCCATAGCTATCATTACCGGAGATACCGAGGCTTCGATTTTAATTATATCACAGAAATTACAGCAAACTCTTTGTCAAAAACCATTAGCATTATTTCGAGAGGTTCTTGCATTTTTTTTGACAATCCTTCCTTATTGGACAAAAGGGAAACAAATAAGTTATTTAGGTATGGATTTTTAATGATAGCTTGTTTCAAGAATTTGGATTAACAAATATCTTTCTTTAATTACTTTTGATTTCTTCCAGTTTCGATACCACAACAAGAGCAATGATGATCTTGGATCAAATGCCTAGAAGAGCTACTGGTGCATATAGTCACAATCAGGTAATTTCAATTCTGCACATAAATAATAAATTTTAACATGAAAATGGAATAAAATGTTTATTTTTTGGTATTGGAATCAGGGTATTAAAGGATTACGTGATAGCATTGCTTGTAGCACCTGGTTCTTGGTACGTAATTCTTTTTATTTTTATCTAAGTGTTTTGCATTTTTGGCCTTTGACTCGGCGAGTTGAAGGACAAACTCGCCAAGTAGAAGCGGGACGCGACCCGGGATTTAAGTGATGGACTCGACAAGTCGGGTCCCAGACTTGACGAGTAGGCCTTGGCTGGAAAAAAACCCTAATCTCAGGGTTTGCACCCTATTTAAACATCTCATTCAGTCACCCATCGTCTCATTTTCTCCCAAAAGATCCCCATAGCAAACCCCAATCGTGTGAGTGAGGATCTAAGGCATTTTGAGTGATTTTGGCGCTTTTGTGATCTAAAAAAGGAAGGAAAAGCTTGAAGAAAAAAGAAGATGCTAGAGGGATCCGAGTTTGAGTATCTTCCACAGTGCATTTGAGGTATAAAGCTTATACGTTGCTCATTATTATTATAGATCTATTCTTGAAGGAAGTTAGGGCTTCTAAGAGCCATTTTGGCTACCAACCATGATTGCAAGCATGGTTGAGGGCTAGGGTTTCGGATCCAGGGTTCTTGAGGGACCCTAAGGCAGAAAGCAACTGTTTTATAACCCATGAAGCCTCATGCATGTTGGGAGTTCCTTTTTGAGCCATTTAGGCTCATTCTTCCATGCATGCACGTAAAGTTTGTAACTTTATGTGCTAGATCGAACCTAGGGGCTTGGATCTATCTTTTGGTCAAAGGTTGTACATCAGAAAATGAGGATTTAGGGTGTGGACGTTACCGACTCAACGAGTCCATTCTTGGGACTCGACGAGTCCAAGGCTTTGTGTCCCCTATTTGTTAAGGGTCAAAAGAACTCAGTTGGGTGTTAGAAGGGTTGTAGCAGGACAGAAGGAGTGACCCAACGCATTATACTTAGTTTTAGACTTGGAATTCATGGGACTCGACGAGTGCTAGAACAGACTCAGCGAGTCCAAGATAATCTCCTTAAGATTGAAGATGAACTCGACGAGTCAAGGTCATGACTTGTTCATCAGATAAAGGTGAACTCGACGAGTTGTTCATACAACTCGGCGAGTCGGATGAAGGATCATTCGATGTTCTTATAGAAGAGGAACCCGTCGAGTCATCGCCAAACTCGACGAGTCGAGTCATGGATGAGGTTGTGTAAAGGGATAGGGACTCGACGAGTTGACGACCCAACTCGGCGAGTCGGGTCAACTTGAAGTTAGCTTTGAATTGGACTTGATTGGGGGTAAAATAGTCATTTTACCCTAAGAGTAGATGTCAATTTCTGACTAAGTGTTTTTTGGGGATTGTAGCCGGAGGATTTATGGAGTAGCAGCAGGCAGAGATTTCCCACACGGATCATCATCAACTACTTGTTCGAGGTGAGTTACCTTCCAGTAGCTTTGGGTCTACAGCCACAATGCCGACCCACTAGTAGGAGTTGTATGTTAGATGATTGTCTTTGTGATATCATCTAGGTTTGCTAATACCTGGTATGATATATGTTGGCATGATATGTTATATGTGATAGTAGTAGAGTTCGGTTGTTAGGACCGAATGGTAGGTCAGGCACCCCAGATATGTTTGATAGTATGTGATGATATGTTTATATGCTGACAGGATATGTTATATGTGATAGTGGTAATAAGAGGGGAATAGTCCCCGAGTTCGGTTGTTAAGACCGATAGGTAGGTCAGCACCCCAGAATGGCTTGACATGAGTAAGACGGCACCCCAGAATGGTCGTATGGGTAGGTCGGCACCCTAGAATGGCTGTATCGGGTAGGTCGGGCACCCCATAATTGCCCGACAATATGTATGCTATGTGATTGTATGGTACGTGGTACGATGGGGAAACTCACTAAGCTTCGTGCTTACAGTTTATAGTTTTGGTTTCAGGTACCTCTTCAGCGAAGGGGAAGGAGCTTGCACGGTAGCATTACATCACACACACATGTTGGTTTTCCGCATTAGAGTTTCTTGGGATTGTACTCTGACATTATTCTTACTTTTGTGAATGGTATCAGATATGAGTTGTGGTTTTTATGAAAAGTTATGTTTAGATGGTGTTTTCTTATAAATAATTTTACTAGTCGATTAATTAAAAATGAAATTTTTGGACTTGAAATTTGGGTCGCTACATTGCTGCTGGAATTAAAGCTCATGATGGTTACCCTGCTGAACCAGATGATATTTTCTTAACAGATGATGCAAGTCCAGGGGTAAAATCGACTTGTCTTGCTCTTTACTAAATCTTCCATTTTCAGGTCCATGTGATGATGCAGTTACTTATAAGATCAGGAAAATATGGGAATTTTATGTCCCATTCCTCAGTACCCTCTTTACTCTACTTCTATCGCCCTACATGGTGGCACTCTAAAGATTTGTTGATATATAATTATGATTTGAATACAACATTCTTGCAAGAAGTACAGAGTGAGAGAAAATTAAAGCAAACAAGCCTTGGCTGCTAGATGTTGCAGTCTGTGTGGCACTTGATGCTTTTGTATCCTTCAACTTTTTGTTTTGATTTTTTAATGATTTAATTGTTGTGTTTGATTACCTTGAAAAAGTTGATTGTTACAACAAATCATAATGCAATATATGTATACTACAGAAACTTCATGAAGCCATATCCAAACACTGATGATGAATGAAGACCATGGTGACTGGTGAGGTGACTACTAGCTTGCTAGCCCATTTCTTGTTTTGTTCTTTTAAAATGGATTTTATTTTATTATTGAATTATTTTTGTTGTCTCATAATTACATTGTTATATTTACGTTCAATAATGGAAAGTAGTCGAATTGATGTAGGACCTGGACGGTGAAAATGAGGTTGTTGAGCAAAATCAAATGTCAATAGTTGGGGACAAAAGGACTTCATATGATTGGCGCAACTACACATATGTTATTTTGTTATTGTTGTTTTTTTGCATTTATGATTTTTGTTTTTATTGTTGCTGTTTTTTGTTGTTACTATTATTGTTTTTGTTGTTGTTGTTTTTGCAGTTATTATAGTTTGTAGTTTGTTGTTGGCTCTTGCTATTGTGTTATTTAAAAGTGGGAAATCTTTTTAATAGCTTGTTATTTAAAAGATCAAAATTTTGTATCATTTTTGGTTTTGTATCTTGTAATTATATTGTTTGTATATGTTAATTTATATAATTTCCATGACATGTATAAAATAACAAGTTTTAGTACTCAAGAAGCCGGGTACCCGAAACCAGAACTGGTTCCGAGAGTGGTTCCAGTTTTCTAGGAACCGCTGTAGGCGGTTCTGATTCCAATACCAAAAACTTAAGAACCGCAGGTTCCGGGAACGGTTCCGATTCCAGCTAAAATAGGCGGGTACCCGGTTATGCTCATCCCTACAAAAGATATGATCTAATTCAATAATGTTCATCAAGTCTCTTACCATTTAGGCACAAATGGAGCCATCCAGATTGAACCCCAAATAAAGATATATGACAAAAACATATATGTGGGTTAAGATTTCAGATCATAAGGTAAAAAAGAAGCATTTGTTGATTT